GCGGGACAACTCGGACCGACTGCGCGCTGCGGAGCGGCCGCCAGATTGTACTGTGGCCAGCGACGCAACTTGCATGCGCCCCGCCGCGTCGCTGGCAGCGGCAGACCGGCAATCAGAGTTTTTCAAGATGGTGGACGCTTGGAAAGCAGACTCTCACTTTCATCGACACAAGTCCCCGCAGCCAGCACCCGATGCACTTGAGAGACGACTTCGCGCTGCAATGGCTACCGGCGACGCGTCGACGTTCCCCCCTGTACCTCCGCGCACGAGGACGGCAGTGGTCGACGCGTGCCTACACCTTCTGCATAATGGAGTCTTGGATGTAGTGGACATGGAGCGCGTGAACGTCAAACAGGCCCGCGCTTTGCTCTGGAACGCGGCATGGCTACAAGATGTCATGAACCGCAGGTGGGGCTTCGATGAGCCCACGGGCCCAACGGCAACTGGACGCCCTTCACTCGCCGATGGTTTTCAGTTGGCTCTTATGGGTCCAGGCGGTACTGGGAAGACGGCGGTGCTGAGAGTCGTGGAAGCGGTGATCTGCTACTTCAACGGACCCGACACGGTTCAGAAGTGCGCGCCGTCGAACTCCGCCGCGAGGCTTCTCAAGGGTGACACGCTGCACGCTCTCTGCAAGCTGCCGTTCGGCAACGTCACCGTGACGGGCAAGAAGGGCCGCTTGACCCGATCTGTCTTAGAACAGCATCGAGATCGATGGGAGTGTGCTCTCGCGTGCTTCATCGACGAGGTGTCCATGGTTGCTGCGGCGCAACTCTTCCAGTCGGAGGTCCGATTGAAAGCCGCGAAGAATTCCGCTCAGGCATGGGGCGGCTTGGGAATGACGTTGTCCGGAGACTTCATGCAGCTCCCGCCAGCAGACCCGACGGGGGACAGCAGGAGCCTCGCCACAGACCCAGACGAAGTCGACGTCCTCAATGAAAAAGGCCCAGACGCCACAACGAAGGACGCAGACAAGAAGAGGTCCAAGCACGTGGAAACAGTGCAGGGGCTTCAACTCTGGCGGAGAGTGCGACGGGTTGCGACGCTAGACATTAACGTCCGGGCCCCTGGCCCTCTCAGTCAGCTGCTTGGAGAGATGCGTGCTGGCCACATTTCTGACGAGATGTGGGCCTTATACACCAATCGCATTCTGTCTTCCAACGACACTCGACCGCTGGACCCGGCGTCTCCATTTGCAATGCACCCGTGGACGTACATCGTGCACAGACACAAGATTCGAGCTTATCGGTCCATGCAAAATGCGCGACAGCAGGCTTTGCGCACGGGGCAGCGCGTGTACGTCGTCCAAGCCCGGGACGAGCCAGTTCACCCAGGGGACTCTCGGAAAATGACAAGCGACGTCCGCTGGGCACTCCTTCAGAAAGTAAGCCCGAAAGACACGCAGGACCTGCCCAGCTTGCTGCCCCTCTACGTCGGCATGCGCCTGACCATGTACTCGAAGGATTGCGTGCGATTGGGACTGATGAAGGGCTGCGTGTGCACGCTTCGACATATCGTCTTCGCCGACGGCGAGAGTTTCCCCGCGGACTCCCTGGACGACAATGTTGTGCACCTGCAGTACATGCCGATCACGTTATGGTTGCAAGCGGACGGCGCTGAGTGGACGCTTCCAGCGTCAGACTTGCCCGCAGACTTGCCAACGTGCACTGACAGACAGGGGCTCTTCCAGATGCGGCCCACCTACGGATACCTCCGCGCCACGTGGGAAGAGGAGAACTTTTCTGTCCGCCGGACAACGTACCGGTTACTTCCAGCGGATACCATTATAGTGCACGGCGCCCAAGGATCTGCACCCTCGGAATGGGGACGGAACTTTGGCCACAATGCCGAACAGTAATGCCTGCTCACGCAAAACAATAGTTGCTGTGCGCTGGGGCCCACCGGACACCACTCTTTGTCGTTCGGACAACAGTTGCCGTCCTTCTGACAGAAGTTCTAGTCCGGCGAACCACTGCCGCCGCAATCCTCTAGCCCGCGTGCAAAGGCACTGTTGTTCGGCATTGTACCCAAAGAACCGTCCCCCACTACGGGCGTGCAACAAGGTGGCACGTGCCCAGCAGTGGTGGCCGACATGAAAAAGCCACCGTCGATGGACGCCGACACGCACTGGCTCGCTTGCTACGTCATGCTGTCGCGGCCCGTCTCCGTGGAAGGCTTACTCATCTTGCGCCCAGCCACGAGGCGGGAATTGTCCCGACCGCCTCCGAAATTCATCCTCGACGAAATTACCCGCCTTGCTGACATGGAGACGGCGTCGCTGGACGAATTGATTCAGATCCTGCAAGATCTGAAGGGGGAACCGTTCCCGCCTGAGATCTTGGATTCAGTTCTTGCTCAGGACGGCGCCGCCCGGCAGTCCGCCGAGGTAGCCGAATATCGGAGAGCCGGGCCAGCGCTCCGCACAGTTTCTCGGCGCACGCGCGGCAAAACGACGCCACCTGCGCCCCTGTCGAGAGTTGGAGACACGGCGGGCGTGGGCGAGGATGCTGCAGCGCAGGCGACGCCACCGTCCTCGGCGCCCCCGCTGAAGAAGCCGCGGCTGCCAAACATGGAGACGGCGCGCGCGTCGACGCCGCCCACGGTGAACGCCTCCGAGTCGGAAAGAGCAATCTGCGCGGCCGTTGGCCGCCAGTGCGCCGCCGGCGCGGGCGCGGCCCCCGCGGGGAGCACGGGCCCGCAGCCGCCCCAAGCGGCACAGCGCACCGCTGCAGCGCAGCGGAGGACGGCCCCGCTGGGAGAGCAGAGCGCCACAGCGTGCAAGCCAGACGCACACGCGGCAAGCAGCCCAAACAGTGCCGCTAACGCGAGGGAAGGTGCCGCAGATAACGACGACAACGGGAAGCGCAAGGCTGCCAGGCATTCATCCCCCCCGCGAGCGCCCTGCTCCGAGTGCGGAGAGGCTGGATGCACGCCACATTCCCCCACGTGCGCCATTTTCTTGATCGCGCCACAGTGCGAGGCTACCTCCACTTTGCCGTGGGCTCGCGGGACCCCGTGTCCGGTATCGACGAACTTGCGCAACTACTGCGCGAAGTTCACGCGGCACGTAGCCACGGGACCCTTCGAAGTGGAAAGTGTGGAATACGGAGCTGGCGGAGATTGCCTCTACCACAGTGTCGCGGGCGTCCTCGCTCGCATGGTGCTCCACGGAGGTGGGCCGGCGCGACACATTTTAAAGAGCATCCCATCCGCAGTGTTCTTCCAGGGCTCCAACGCCACAATGCAGCACTTGCGGGCCATCTCCGCCTCGATATACAGCCAGTGGGCCCCCGAGCAGGTGCTCGACTTCGCGGTCGCTGCAGCCATGCAACAGCGCAGCAACGCCCATCTCGACGAGTGGGACCCTGCAGCGTTGCTGTCCGACTTCTGCTTCGAATGCCTTTTGCACGCTGAAAGCGTCCTGGCGTTTGAAGAGCAAGATGATGGCGACGCGCTCGTTCGCATCGCGTACACCCAGGCGCACTCTGGAGCAGGCGCCAGAGAAGAGCGCATTACGAGAATACCTGGCGGAGTCGCCAACCTAGCCCAGGTTCGAGCCAGACTCTCCCACTTCATGCGTCAGCCAGGCAACGTTCATTGGGGTACTCAAACTGACGTGCGCAGTCTAAGCGACCGCTTGGATGTGGGAATCTTACTCTTTCAGGATCGCCTACGTGAACGTGCCCGCACCTGCCTCTACAATGTGGGCGGCCAGCGAGCAGATTACCCATACTGGATCGCTTTATGGTGGGAGGAGCCGATCCATTTCCGTGGCGCGCAGCTGCGCCCACGCCCCCCAGAGTCAGACGCGCACAACAGCAACCGCCCGGACGCAACGTCCTTTTGGTCTACTGCCGATCTTCCAGCATTCCTTCGACAAGAATTCGCCGAGTGCAATCGTCTGGCGGATTGACTGACCTGATGCGGGCGGATTGACTGACCTGATGCGGGCGGATTGACTGACCCAATGCCCAGTCCATGTTTCACACCAGGCTGCTGCGACTTGCGTATCGTTCGATATGCGCCAGAGAAAGACCCCAAGAAGCTTCGAAAAAAACTAAAAAAAAACACCCAGATGGCCCCAGAACGGCCCCCAAGAGTCCCAAAAGAACCCCAAGAGGCTCCAAAACGACCTCCACGAGGTTTGTGTTATCTCGAAGGGGCATACAAACAACATCTCCCGTCTTGGACTTCTCTTGGGGTCCTCTTGGGCCATCTTGGACCGATTTGAGCCGTCTTACGGCTCTCTCGAGCAACGACGGTCCACGTGCGACGACGACGACGACGAACGACGAACGATGACGCACGGCTGCAACGACGACGACGACGCCGACGGACGACGAACGGCGAACGACGAAAACGACGACGCCCAACGACGACGACGACGACGACGACGACGACGACGACACGGACGACGACGACATCGAACGTCGAACGACGATAATGACGACGAACGATTAACGACAACGACGAAACGTCGGACGACGACAACGACATCTCCGACGGACGACGACAACGACGAACGATGAACGAGAAAAGACGAACGACGACGACAGAGAAGGGCGACAACTACGACGACGACAACGATGACGACAACGACGACGCCCGTCTTGAAGTTTCTTGGAGGTTCTCAACGTGACGTTCCCTGGCAAGCCCTGTAGACAAAGTGGCGCTTCCCGTTCTTGTCCGGTCAGGTTCTACCACGCCTCAACGTGCCAGGGGGCACGGTGGCGGATTTGTCTGAATCCCCTCCCGCATGGTTTCCCGTATGGCCTCCTGTACGATTTTCCGCACGGTCTCCCCCGGCATGATCTCCCGTATGGCCTCCCATATAGCGTTCCGCATGTACACCTTATCAAATCACGCATCCGTATGTTAGTATGTTGTTTAGGGGTTTCTGCCGCGAGGGTGTAAGTTCTCTTTTTCCCATCTGCCATTTGTCGTGTTTTCAGATCCCCTATCATCCCTCATCATCGTCATTCCCCCTGAATCTCCCCTCC